CCCGCCGATATATATATATATATATATATATATATATATATTTTGCGTGGAAACGGCCCCAAGGTGTCCCCCGCCCTCGCGCAACCCCGTGGCGGCCCTGTGCTGATTTTTAAATGCGCGTGCGCGCCTTAAATCACTTTGAGCGTTTTTGAGCCCGGCGCAGGGGCCTTTAAGCGCACTTATACGGTTTTCCAAGTAGGCAGCGATCGCCTCCGACCAAGCCTACACGTGCATATGCGAGCCATGTCCTTCGGTCAGAGGGGCAGAAGCCAATGGTTCACAGGACATATCATCCTAAAGTGAGACAATCTTCCATTAGTCTAGCATGCCTATCCAATCCATAGATCGATACACAAGAAGGATTACACCTATCATCCATGCATCTAGCCTTGAATCGAGGTTCATGCAATGCTTCCTTGGCCAATCAGTCTGAAATTACGCAAGGTCCAATCGTCGGAGATCAATCAATTAGACCCATCAATCTAAGAGGACAGAAAGGGGAGGGGAAGAACACAATCATTCATCAACTATGTATCACCCGCGGTTGCTACCGCGGGCCATTTTACTGCCCGCGGTCAAGATCCCGCCCGCAGCGGCCGACTGCCCACGGCCGAGTGTAGGCATGAAACCCCGATAATTGTTTCGGGATCTAAAAATAAGCGAAACAAATAAAAACAAAATGGGCGTGTAGATTAAAAACAACTCTACACTCCTATGATTTTTAATAATTTTTTGTGACATCTACTGGAAGGGTAAAAAATAACAAACGAAAATGGAAAAAATAATAATAATAATAAAAAAAATCAATGATGATTTTTTTTTTCTTCAATTTTTTGGCTTGTTGGGCCGGTGGCAAAACACTGGCCCACACACACACACACGCACACACAATCAATCAATCAATCAATCAACGAACAAATCGCAATCCGTGAAACACCCGCGGACGCGTCCGCGGGGTCGAGCTCGGATGGCGGATGTATATACGGCCGCGTCCGCGGCCGACCTCATCTGCACCGCGGACGCAAATTTACCATATTTCTCCTGAATTAAATAATGGGTAAAAATATATACATATATATATATATGGGGTTGTAGGGATTTTTAATCCCTACAACCCTTTTTTTTTTGTTTGGAAACATATAAGTTTTTAGAATATTAAAAATAAAAAACAGAAAAGTCGGAGAAGAGAAATTGAAAAATAAATTTAAAAAAAAGTGTTTTTTTTTGGGGGGGGGGATTTTTGGTTGGCAGTTCTTTGTATTTTTTGTTTTTACATTTTTTTTTTTGTTTTTGTTTGTCCTAAGGAAACAATCAAGGAATATAAACAAAATATATGGTTTCTTTTTTTCGGGGCCTTTTAATATTTGTGTGTGAACGTGTGTGTGTGTGTGTGTGTGTGTGTGTGTGTGTGTGT